TGGGGGCAGTCAAGCCAGCAGGTGGGAAGGGCAGGGACTGTTAGAGGTGCAGCCCCACCTGGTCTCGGCCCCCAGCCCCTGCCAACACTGCTGACTGCCCTGCGTGGCTCTCGGAACTCTGTTGAAGGTCACCCTCCCTTAGAGAGACCTGGTTTTCTGGAATTCCTCAGCTCCGACAGCTAAAAGGGGAACCACTTTTCTTCTTCCTTCTTTCAAACATCACCTTTCATTCTCACAGAATACTGATCAAACACCATCCTGTTCAGGTGAGCTGAAATATCAATCCAGAGACAGGTATTTAAGAAGGAATGTCATCAGGAAAGCTATAGGGAAAGCTGACTTTTAACCCTCAATAACGGAAAAATACAGAGCTTCACGGGGCCACAGGTCAAGTTCAGTACTTGGTGTGTTCTTAGCAGGAAGTGGCTCAAGACTGCACACTGACTCAGAGCCGTATTGCAGGCCGCAGAGCGTGACTGAAGTCCCTGCAGATGACCCCACGACCCCGCTCATCTGTGGGGATCCAGTCTGATGCAGTTTCTGGAGCGCCGGCTTCTTAGGTGGCACTAGTGGTAAAGAACCCACCTGCCAATGCAGGAGATGCAAGAGATGCAGGTTGGATCCCTGGGTCGGGTGGGGAAGAGCCCCTGGAGGAGGAAATGGCAGCCCACTCCAGTATTCTTGCCTGGAGAATCCCATGGACAGAGGAGCCTGGTGGGCCACAGAGAGTCGAATGTGACTGAAGCGACTTAGCATGCATTCTGTGGCACACTCAGAGTGCCCGCGTGACATTCGCCAACAGGGGAGGAATAGAAAGAGCAGGAAAGACAGAAGAGGCAGGTTAACCAGATGTAGCGGTGAGAAGTGGCTCCTGTCGCTGTAGTTAGAGAAGCGCATGGGTCTTGCTGACTCGGAGGGAAAGAAAGGTCGGGCTGGCCCCCTCCCGTTTCCAGCATAGAGAGCAGGAGATAAGCCGCTTTGGCTCCCTGGCCCCAGAGGAAGTGCATCTGCAGCCCCGCTCCAGGACACTGCTGGGGCACACAGGCCGGGCAGGACCGGCTCCCAGCCGGGGACAGGCCTTCTGGGCTTAAAGCTCAGCTTCAGGAACGGCCAGGGCCAGACAAGCTTCCTTCTCATCCTTTCTTTTCTTAAAAAAGCAGGCAAGGACCAGTTCTCCACGAGCCTCACAGACATGAAATGAGCACCGAACAGACTGAGCCAACCTACGGAGCAGTAAGCTGATCAAACGAAAAAAGCAAATTCAAGTCCTGCCATCTCGGCTCTACGAAGGAGCACACTTATCTTCATCTCTAAGAACACTAAGAAGGTCCCATGGCTTCCAGATCTACCATGTCCTCCTCCGTGATCTAGGCCCTGGTTCCACCACGTCAGGCAGCACGCCCTCAGCATGGGATATCCTGTGTCAGCTGCTGGGGATGCATGTTTGGGGTTCTCCTGGTACCATGACGGGAGGATAGCAGAGTCCAGCAAGGCAAAGTGGGCGTGACCCAGCAGACCTGCAGAAGGTCCCTGCTTCCGTTAATATCTTGGGGAAAGGAAAGTGGGAAGTCTTATTTTTTTTGAACACTCTTACAAAATATGCTTTTTAGATAGCGTGTTCGGCTCAGTTGTGTCTGACTCTTTGCGGCCCCATGGACTGCAGCCTGCCAGGATTCTCTGTCCATGCGCTTTCACGGGCAAGAATACTGGAGTGGGTTGCCATCTCCTTCTCAATTTCTAAATGGCACAGGTAACAAATCCAGTTGTAAGGACTAAAACCTATTTCTTTCGTTTTCCAATTCTTCCTTAACATTCACTAGGAAGATGGCATTTGCATTTCAGGCTATCTTACTCCATGAACACGACTCACTTGGAGTGCCTACCCCTCTCAAGCTGAAGCCAACTTGGCTGCAAATACGTCATCTACTGAGCAAAGCAACAGGCTGCATACTAGCAGCTAGAGACACTGCCCCTCCTTCAGTGATGGGGAAGGGATACCAAGCCAGCCCCAGACTCCAGCTGCCATCCCCAGGGCCCGTGCTGCCAGGCGCAGACGAGAACAGTCCGTCTCCTGAATAAGAACGAGTCTGTCAAACTGAGACAACAGGAAGTGAACTTAGGGAACACAGAGAAAATGTAAACATATTCTAAAATGACAAAAAGTTAAGACTGAGGCAAGAGGGACGTCCCTGGTGGTCCACTGGTCAGGGTTCCATGCTTCTACTGCAGGGAGCACAGGGCTGATCCCTGGTGGGGAAGCTAAGATCCTGTGAGCTTCGAGGTGTGGCCAAAAAAAAAAAAAGTGTGGCAAGCACCAAAATAGGAAAATGCTGGGTAACCACTGAGCAATTAAACAACGGTGACAACCTGGGGCGGGATGAGGTGGGAGGGACGTTCGGAGGGGAGATGTGCATGTGCATGGCAGAAACCCATCCGACACAGTAAAGCAATCGCCCTCCAATTAAAAATAAATTAAAATTAAAGCCTGAAAAACACCACTGTCCTGAGCTAACATTATCTAAGTTACAACCAACAATAAGGTAGCAGGTGAGTATAGGCCTGCCAGAGTCAAATGCAGAAGACACATAGCAATTGTAACAAGCAGTTAGCTCACTGCAGACACACTTATATTTGAAATGGCTTTTGTGAATTAACATGCGTAAATATAATAGGGGAACTCATTAACGGGATCTGGTTTAACTCTTCAAAGCAAAGAAGAGCACAGGGACTTGCTGGTGGTCCAGTGGCCGGGAGTCCCAGCTTCCACACTGCCCAGGGCACAGCTTCCATCTGGTCGGGGAACTAAGATCCTGCAAGCTGAGAGGCACAGTCAAAAAAAAAAAACAAAACAAAACAGAATAGCACACGTTCACTACTATAATTTGGTTTGTAAATCCTCACTTTCAAATGTTAAGGAAGTTCACAGGACAGATAAAAAATGGCTAAAATGTGTTGGAAAAAGTGCTTAACCCCACACAGGAGATGAAACTTGGAAGAAGCTCCTTTCATCTACCAGAGCAAAAATGCAGAGGATTTATTTGCAATATCCAACATTGGTTAAGAGTGAAGAGAAAGTGGTACTCTCACATTGATACTGAAATACAAATTGGAACCTTTCTGGAGAGCAACTTAGCTGTGCTTATTAAAGTTTAAAATGTATCCACACACTTCTAAGTATCTATTGCAGACATGCCTATACTAGAGCCCAAGGATACTGACAGCTTCATTTGCTAAGAACTTAGAAACAATTAAAATGTCCCTCAGTAGAGACAGGTGAATCAGTTTGATGCTTCCACACATGCAACTAAATAAGGCAGAATTGACATTCTGAGAGAGAAGCATTTCCCCAAACCCACTGCCTACTGCTGGAAAAATGTATAAGAGTGATTGAAAATTCAGATCTTTTTAAAAAGTATGTGTAATTTAGTGACTGCATGGATGTCTGAAGTTATGCCTGAGGGAAAAGAAAACAAGGATACAATTTCATTTTTATACAGTGTTTGTACAATTTACAAGCATCACTTTTATAACTGAGGTAAAAGGGGGCAATGCTGACGTGAGGCCAGTGACCTGCTAATCCACTGAAAGCTCCGCAGACGCTCCCTGGGAACCCAGGGGGGTCCTGCCGTGGTCAACACACCCGCTCTCCAATTTCAACAACAAAACCTGCAGGTCTGAAAAGGGTCAACTTTATTATCCCAGATTCTTTGTCTGTAGAAAAGGACCATTTTTTAAATAACATACCCACTTCCTCTTGTACATTATTTAGGACATTTAGTAAATACCTTTCCTTATGAGTTTCCATAGGTCTCCACTCAAGCACATTACCAAAAATGACAGGAGAGGGAAATCACATTGGGCCCGGAATCACAAGGTTACATCCTTAAACTCCATGTTCAAAGAGTTCAAATGATGCCTCCGAAGCTCAGGCCCACAATTCTGAGAACCAGAAAGAGTCACATTTCCTCCTATCTCTAAGACACACGCTCACTCTTTTTCAAAGGACTCTCTGGATTACTCTCCAAATAAGTTTATTCAACAGGGGTGTTAAGCACAGTGTGAAGAAAAGTGGAATGCTGATGGGTAATGCCGCAAAATATCTGCATCTAAAAATGTTTAGGAAACGTATATAAGAAACACATTCACAGTGTGTGGAAGGTTTTGAAAGGTGACCAACTTACTAGCACAATTTTAAAGTCATAAAGAGTACACCCTGCATGTCTCTAATGCGCTTAATATTAAACAGTGTTAAGATAATATTTTCCAGGCTAGAATGTACTTTCCACTTGCCCTAATAAACCGAAGCCCAGATGGGAAATGTAACCAGGACTAAGTAAACATAATATAGAGTGAGGAGAGCTAATGACCTAGGATGCCTTCACGAGCAATAAAACATTAAAAAAAAAAAAAGTTTCAACAAACAGAGGGTATGAAAAGCTGGGCCTCTGGAGTGTGTAAAACAAATGCACCTTCAGAGGAAATGCGTTTCTGTGGATGCAGCCGAGAGTGTCAGATGCTGTCACAAAGCTGACGTGAGGGAGAGACGTGCCTCATGAAGCAGCCTTTAAAACATGCAGACTTGATTCTGGCTGACAATCCATCATCAAAACCCCCAGGCATCTTACTAGGGTGCTGTATGGCCCACAGTGAGAAGTCCAACCCAGTTCCTAGTAAAAGATGAACTGAAACAGGAAGAACAGCCACACAAACACAAAGCGATTCCATTTTTTCTGAACACCCACACAAAGACAGCAGTTTCTGACAAGAACGTTCTTGGCAAAAAAAAAGTTACAGGAAGGTTTTATTTTCTTGAAGAAAAAGGCAGGTCTATACGCAGATTACCAGGCAATACCAAATGGTGTTTACAGCCTTCACATTTTGAAAACATCTGAATGTGTTTTTGCTTTTTTATCAAATAAAAGATGACTGGAAACACTGTTCTTGTCTGGAATGCTTATTTCTTGTTGTACTTGAAAATAAAATCCAACATGGCAGCTTACCTTGGCACTGGAAGCCTTGTTTCCCAAACCCCCTGAAAAACAAATAAGAAAAATTTCTTATTTTCTGTTGACACCACATCTTAAGCCAGTTATATGACAAAGCATTCTACAGAAGTAAAAGTTTGCATGTGAAATCCAATGATTTGACAGGAAAACATGCCTAAACAGCTCAAAGTGCAGAGTCAAGTCATCTTTGAAAAGATATGGCCTCCAAAGTCTCACTGAACTCATTTCAACATATTCAAGGTTCTTGCCAGTTTTTTTTTTCCTAATATTTTATCAGTACTTAATTTAAGAACATGACTATAAAGTTGTTGGCTACGATATCCAAGTAACAAGAAGAACTTTGTGGTTAAAAAATCAAATCTACAAAGATGGCTGAATTTGGTCCCTAAAGACCAACTGAAAATCTTTTTGCCCTAAAAACAAACAAGTGGCTTCATCATTTGTTATGAAGTATTATTTACCTAGAAATTACCACGTAGCACCACTCTTAACACTAAATTTTGGCTTAATTAAGAGCCAGATTTTACAGTGTCATCCCTATTGTTTGCATGTGAGATTATGATCTGATTTTACTGTGAACTAACAGCATTCAAAGCACATTCAGAAGCTATATTGCTCTTGTAAATTACTTTAGAGAATTTACTCTCTAAGCAGAGAACTCCGACATGGACATTAAATTGCAAACACCATTTCAACTAGGATGAACTACATTAAAATTCTCAGAAGGTTATGAGTCATAATCTCTTGCTTTACATAGCATTTTAAATTTACAAAGCACTTCACATATCTTTATAATTAGTCACTCCCCACCCCCCCCCAAAATTTAAATGCAAACAGTTTTAAAATATCAGTGCTTTAATATTTGAGTTGTAAACTAGAGAAACAGAAGAAAATCGAAAAATTAAAACCACGGCTAGACCGTGCTGGGGAATATTTTCCTGGAACTTCCAAGGGGCTGCTCTGCAGCTAAGTGGAGAAGAGGAGTATCGACTATGGGGAAGAAGAGGACAAGGAGATCTTTATTTCCACTTCATGCTACACCTGGTGACCCAACAGGCCACATCAGCTCACAGGGGCTAACAACGACAGTGCAAAGTCTTCAGCAAGTCTGGATGCATAGGCTCAAGTGTCTTTTCTACCTTACCCTCGTCCTGCAAAAGTAATCGGCAGTCTGTTCTGTTTTAATGGAATTTCACAGCTGACGTGAAATTCACGTGAGGCCGAAGACCTCCCCTTAACTAAACGCAATCTCTCTGCCTTGAGGCTCCAAGAACTGATGCTAAGCAGTCTCGTCTACTTTGACCTAGGAGCTCAACCGCTTCAGGCGCCTTTTGACTACACCTCGCAAATCATTCAGAGAGGTGGCTGCGCTTTACACGTAAGTGCGCTTTGGAGTGGATTTCTAAACAGAAACGAAGACGTTCTGCACCTTATTAGCACATTTGTGGGCTTTCCCTTAAAGGTTCCCCCGGGTGCGACGGGTTCAGACAAAGCCGCCCGTCCGTAAGGGAGAAGTCAGGCACCCATTAATTAGCACGTTTGCGGGACTCGCCCTTGGAGACGGTCTCCCCGTGCGAAGCATTCAAGCAGCGTTCTCCCAAGAGCCCCACAAGATCCAGGAGCCACACAACGGCTGGGCAGTCACCCGACGCCGCTCCCCCCGGGGTAGGGGAGTTAAGGAGGCCTAGACGGCTCTGACTTGGTGGGCGGGGGGCTTCCTACATCCAGCAGCAAGAGACTGAATGGGTGGAGGTTGGCAACGCAAGAGGAAAAAAAACTAACGCTTCTCCAAGTGAGGCATCTGCGCTGCCTTTAGTTTCAGCTTTCTTAAAACAACTGGAGGAGAGGGGTCATCAACCTTTTTAAAGTCAGTCAAAGTCATCACCGTCTCCCCAGAAACAAGCACCGCGCGATTCCCCCCTGGCTTGGCGGGATCGGGGACCCTGCAACCTGTCCGGCAGCCGCGGCGCGTAACGCGCGGCCCGGGGGACACCGCTGCCTGGAAGTTACCTGGGCTCGGCGGCCGCAGGCCGGTGGCAGCCCCGGGCAGGCCTGTGTCCTCCCGGCCCCGCGCGGCCCGGGTCCGCTCCAGAGGCCGCCCGCGCCCCCG